CCCCTAGGGTGCATCAAAACGGAAGACGATTTTGTTTACAGATGTTCTGACAGTCAGTCACATGTGTGTATTTGTGCGTGTGTTTGTGTGTGTGTGTTAAACATGTGTCATCAGCTGTGTCAGCAGTTGTCACTGAGTCAGCTTCTGCTGAGCGGATATAACTTTTTTTTTCATTTCTGCCTGTGGCCACATCAGCATGTTGAGAAAGAAAAATGACACAAAGATGTTACATTTCCTTAGAACTTTAGGGAGTTTTCATCATTGAGATAATTCACAGCTTCAGAAATAAACTTACGTAGTTTAACCACATCCTTTTTGCAACTGTGTGTGTGTGTGTGTGTGTGTGTGTGTGTGTGTGTGTGTGTGTGTGTGTGTGTGTGTGTGTGTGTGTGTGTGTGTGTGTGTGTGTGTGTGTGTAGATCCTGCAGATGAAAGTGAACAGGTTAGAGCATCTGGTGCAATTGAAGGACATGCGTATTGAAGACCTGATGCGGCATCGGGAGACGTACAAAGCTAAAGGCGGTACTCAATGATACACACATGTACACAGAGAATGTGTAATAGTAGCTCTGTGACTCTCTAACATCACCTCCAATAAACTCTTACTTTGTTAAAAACTTTAATCGTGGTTCATATACATATATACTACTCTGAGGTTATTACTAAAATGTATCACACTTGTGACTGTGAGACAGATGTGCTTTGTCTTAAAACGGTCTTGTTTTCCAAGTTGTATTGTGAAATGATGCTTCAAGAGATGTATCTAATTTGTCTTATTTTTAAGATTTAGCAAGGGCAGTGCAACATGACTTTCTCTGTAAAATAATTATTTTTGCAGATATTGCATATTATGTCCTTGTGTATTATCTAATACGTTTCTCCGGTTAAAGGTTCATGATAATTATGATTGTTTAATACAGACAGTCGCTTTTTGTGTAGAAAGGGATGTGTTCAGTTGTCTTTGACCTTCTGTGCCTTCACACTGCCTACTGACCTCCAAGTGCTCAATACATAATTTAAACGTTCTCCAAATCCTCTGTTTGAACACGAGTAGAGAGGAGCAGACTACAGATTTGAAGTATTAAAATGAACCAGACAAAATGATAGGCAGTGTTAATATACACTGTGACTGTCACATATTACATCACTCATTTTCTATGCAACTCTTGTTCCTGCTTAAGTGTGAAGATGGACAAATATAGAATGCAGTTATTAATAACAACTTAATTTCCCCTGATTCAAGCATTAGTTTCAGAATAAACACACAATGAAGCTGACAGATGACCATATATAGTAATACACTGACACAGATCACAGCCTGCAATCTGTCTATTGAAAGTTTACTTCCCTTTCTTGAAGGCCATGCCAGTAAATTGGGGTTGGGCGGGTTGCTCGATGTTGTCTGTCAAGTGTGTGTCTGTCGCTGTGTTGTCTTTGATGTTGCCCCCTCAGTTGGTGTGGAATAACAAGAGACAGGTTACCTGCTGAGCTGTATCTCCTCCAGCTGCCTGCTAATCAGGTTGATCATCTATCACCATTATCACCATTATCACGCAATATTACTGTAACTGTGCTGCTGCTGCTGCTGATACAAATAAAATAACACTGAGACAAAAATCACTATTTTAATATTTATACTTACGTGAAACAAATACAGTAATAAATAAAGAACACAGCTCACTCTGTATCTTAGCATTGTGGGAGCTATAGGCTATCTAACGTACTCAAAGCATCTGCACACTCACTGCAAAACACGTTTTTATATCTTTGGATCAGAAGTGAATGTAGCAGCAGTAAAGGTAAAACAAACCCCTGATAAGCCTTAATGCAGGAAACTTGTGTCAATCAGCAACACACTCTCACTCCATAATCGTCCTGGAGCGACGTTTGGTCACTGTCCGTGGCGTGCAGTTGTGACGCTCCTAGGCTCCTTCAGCGTCATAAAGGGACGCAAATAGCTTTCAACTGATTGCAATGTATTCCCATCTGCGGCGGGATTTGACGCTCATGGAAGCACGGCATTCGTTTGTGTCGGCTGCCCTTAAAGGCAATGTGAGCGTCCATTCCCATTGGATAACGGAGAATTGTACACCCGGAAGTAAGTATTCTCCTTACTGTCGATTGATTTTACAGTGATATCTGCACTACTCATCGACTAAAAAACACCAGATTATCCTTGTTAATTACACAACATTGATTGGTTTAAATTGTGTGCAATGCTTTTGTATTTTTCCCCTTCGATTCGGAGAAACAAATATTTTTTCGGAGTAAAGGATGGCAGAAGACACTACACTACCCAGAATCCCCCAGCTATCGTTTATCGGACTACACCATGTGCTCTGTTTGACAAACCCCGTGATTAGTTCTCAAGCTCTGTGATTGGTTGACCTCCAACTGCATTCAATATGGAAAAAAACGTTTCGTAAAAGATACAATCATACTTTATTCAGCAGTACTTGCTTTACTTTTTGAAAGTCATCACATGAATGCATTGTAATAAATGGTTCGGCTGCATTAAATATATTACACATCTGTCGTAATTCTTTATTTTTATTTATCTACAGAGATCGGTATGGGCATAGATATGTCTCATAATTATTTGTGTGAACATAACAATAATTTGTGTGTAAATATGTGATTTGTAAATGCAAAACACCATCCACAAATGCATTTAAAAGATTTGCAAACTCACAAATACATTTGCAAATGTAAAACGGATCTACAAATACGCTAAACATTTACACAAATTAAAAAAATATCTGTGAATATCTCTTTAACATTTACAACTTTCGATCAGGCATTTGTGAATCCATTTTGTATTTGTGGACCAAAATGCACTTGCGGATCTCAAATCTCTGCTCGTGGATCTCACATTTCTGCTTGTGGATCGTCTCAGTTCGATCCATTGGAGTATACTCCAATGGATTATATTGGATAAAGGTGGATGACACACTGCTAATCAGTCCTCCATTTCACCAGTTGACTTCACCCCTGCGAAATGTACCACGAAATTGACCAGTTGTACACGGTGTGACCAGGTCTTAACTCAAGGTAACCCTGAGGACACAATCAGGGTATTTTTCTCAGAACAAAGCCCTTTTTAGAACTTCTCATTGACCTTTGTGTGTAAGATTGAGTATGAGCCTCGGAAGACGAAGTGATAATTCGCAATAAGAATAAATGAGAAGAAAAACACAAATAGGTTCATCCAAACCTTTACTCGTGACACTTATGAGACACAACATTACATTTAGGGCCTACATTTTACAGCTGACTAGAATATAACAGCAACCAATTGCATCTTGAAGGTCGCAGAAATTGACTGAGAAACGTGCTGAGAAATAACAACGCCAATGCTCTTTTAATGAGTGAGTGTATTGCACACACACAGGATAGGAATGCGAGATACACTGCGGAACAGAGTAGCTACTGATGATGGTGCTGACTCCAGCTGATGAATCACATTTATAGGCCTACACGTGAGAGACCACCGCACCCTTCTGTCTCCGGGGTGGGGGGGACAGATCCAGGGAGGAGTCGAGGGGAGGAGGTTCAAGCTGGATCTGAGGATCAGGGACAAAAGGAAGGAAAAGAGAAGCGCTGGCTCATCCAAAGGAAGCAGCAAACGTGACCTTGACACCACTTCCTGTGAGGCGGGGGCTTCAAACTTGATGTGTGTGTGCACCCCCTGACATCAAATCAGACCACCCTTTAAAATGAACCCAGACATTCACAGAAAAGCCTCAGTTAGGTCAACAAGATGCGGATGAGTGAGGTTTATTTACTCACAAACATGTTTTAAGATCGTATTTCTCACTCATTTTTACATCAGGAAAACCCAGATGTGGTTTAGACTAAACACCCTCCCTCTGAAAGCGAGTAGGCCTACTGATGTTTTGGCTGTTTAAGGCCTGGAGATCATAAGAGGAAGCCATCCCTCATGGTCATTCAGGCAGTGGTCACACGCACTCACACACAACGCTGAGTGCTTCCTGGAAAGCCTTTGTGAGCAGCTGACTGGCCATGCTGAGGACAGGACTTCAGGCTTGGAGTCAGCCTCTTGGGATAAACATGTACAGACTTGACACACACATTTCTGTTTTTGTAATGTTAGCAACTCATGAGTTAGAACAACAGAGAGTGTGATAGATTGTGTATGGTTATTCAGTAAATGTTCCTTCTGACGCCACAAGCACTCGTATATCTAAATGAATCCCAAGCCAACACATGTACATTGTATTTCAAATGTTTTTGGACTAAAAATGCAGTAGAGTATAATGATAGTGTTTCATGGTGTCACATAGGATTTTGAACTTGTGATCATTTTTCATCCTTTATGTGGAAGTGGAAAGAACTTCTACACCACAAATCTAGAAAACTTGTTTGGCCTACATTCAAAACAAAAAGCAAACCTTTCATTATCAGTTTAAGTGTCCTTAAAGCTATGGAAACTTTGGGTTTCACTGTCCTTTTCTTCAGATCCTTGTTTAGATTTGAATGTTAAGCACATTTATGCAAGTATAGTACCCAAGCATGATTTTAAAGTCAACTATTATGTTTTCATGTTATATATCCTTTACCGGCTGCATCAGTAGTTAGAATACAATAATATATTATTAGAATACTTGTGTGGGCCTTATGAACAAGTACGTTTTCATACCGAGTATACTTTGATGCTAATACGTTTGTATTTGTACCAATGCCATGTTTAATGCAGAACTATTTCACTTGAGTATCTGTATACTGCCGTTGTAACTTAAATAAAAGATCTGAGTATTTTACCACCTGGTTTTTACACAACACTACCCTTAACATCTTAATGAGCCCATAAGTTGGTGTTTATTCTTCCCTTTAACTTTATTAAACTGATCTTCTTTTGTCTTTCCATCCCCACGTGTCTCAGATATAAGACCAGAGCATTCCGTATCCATGGATTTAGCTCTCCCCCTGCTGGTGTACATCTGTACTACATCCTATCCACACACAAAGCAGCACAGTTGGAGAAGAGAGGTACCAAAATAGGTTTTATTTTACATAAGAACATTGTCAAAACTTGAAAACATTTTTGCATATAAATCTTTTAAAACAAGGAGATAATGTTGAATTTTCACAGACCGTACAAAATAGACGAAAAAAAAATCATTTTCATGAGTGATTAATTCCCCTCCTTTGCATTTCTATTTGAACCCACCACCAAAGCAAACGCAGAAAGAAGCCTTTCGTGCCATTCGTAGGTCAAGTAAACATCACGACATGTTGTGAACACCTGAAGCGCCCACTGCTAGTTCTGTCTCCACAGAGTCTATGATGAGGCCGCAGGTCTTTATGTACATCCAAGCTCTTAAGAGGTCTCACAGTCAAGTTAAAAGGAGCTTTTTAGTATATAAGAATCACTTAATCGTAAGCCTAGGCTAACCCATTAATATTTAAGGCTTGCATTCTGATAGTGGAAGAATTATGTAGTAGAGCTGAACAAAATCCAAAAGCTTAAACAGATCATTAAAACTAGCACCAACTTGCATCTTATTTAAGCCACAGCTTCATCAACATTAACCAAAGCTTGTTATTGTGTAGTACTGGAACTCATATTATCATACAAAACTGATGAGAAGTGTAATTCATTTCTACCTAAGTTAATACTGTAATCAGGAGCTGTGTATTATCTTCTTTAGCAAAGAATGAATAAACTTTGCATTCTATCAATTCTTGGATTGCAGGAAAATATAAACATTGATATTGGAAGTTAGCCATTGTCTTATTCTCTTCTGTTTTTTTCCAAGACCTTATTTGCACCGACTGCGACTAGACGGTACAATAAAATGATGGTGGACTCAAAATGACACCTTTAATGTGGATAACCAAAGCTTTGATTATCCAGCTGGTGTCACCAGAGTCCAATTTTTAATTTTCAGCAACATTGAGCAACTGTTGCAACAAAATAAAAGTCAATTTCCTGAGAATTTACATTTCACCACATCTGAATAAGCTGCATAACAAGAGTTGGCTGACAATTGCAGGCGCTAATAATCATCTGAATCAAGCCACTACACATTTCCACATGCATGGATGGCTCTAATAATCAAAACCAGACGTAGGAAAGAAAGATGTGCCGACGTCTCAACGAGGAATACAAATCCGGACTCCACCCTATAAATCAAATGCTTTATTGGTTAACTCTAATATCAGTTACCTTATTTTCTATGGGTTTAGATGAGCTTTAAGAGGACTATCCTTGAGCTCACAGTTAATGCCACAGCAGGTTTTAGTAAAGCATCTCAAGTCTTTCTGAAGAGGCTGCACTCAACCACATCTAATAACAGCAAACGACCACCAAGCTACTAGAGAATAAACTACATTACTACTAATCTGACACCACAGTTTATTAACTATATAAACACACAATACCCCTCCACCTTTAAAGACTTGAGTATCCGTAAAGTTCTATTTGAAATCAGGGGAAAGTATAACAAAGTCAGGCCACTAACGCTATTGTTTTACATAATCTCAGTTTTCATGTCTGTAGGATTTCAGCTTTGAATTAATTAGTGTCACCTGTTAGATTCCAGTCCTACTCAACCAGAAATTAATCCTCCAAAATCATTCATCACAAATCTCTCCTCTTGCATACAACACACAAAGGATGCAGATCTAACAGCCAAGTTAAACACTGCACTGATTGCAAGCACATGTAAATCAGGGCGACTACTTGCTGTCGCTCTCTCGGGCAGAAGCATTGAGTATGCTGTTAATGTTTCACTATGGCATCATTCTCCTTCCTAAAACTTGTCCTCCAAAAAGATTAGAAGGTTAAAAAAAAAAGTTCCCTTTTTCTCGCATTTGTCTTGCTCTCACTCCTGCTTGTCTAATCTATCTCACTCTTTGCCATTTAGTGCCTTATCATTCACCAAACCATCTGCAAAGCTTTCCCTCCCGTCATCTGGAGTTCAGTGCTCCATCTGAGCGTTGTGGGGGGCGTGCGCTGACTTAGGGGGGCTGTCGGCTCCCTCTACAAACATGTTGGGGATGTCCTGGCCGAAGTAGATCTTACTGTTAGTGGCTATGGATTGGTACTTCATCAGCTCCAGGTACTCCGGGGTTAACTTCACCTGTGTAGACGCAGAAGAAACACAACGATATGTAATAGGACTAGGGTTAGGGTATGGTCACTTCTGGTATGAGTCTAAATGTGACATGATGATTTACAGCATGGCTAAAGCGAATGTAACATTGCAGATGGCTCGCCTGTGGAGCATTTGGTTCTAAAAAAGAAAAAGGGGCGAATTCAGGAGTGTGGAGGTGGTTGATAGCATCAACATTCAGAGGGAAGAGCTGAGGCGCTACAGCACACAACAGGAGTACTCCAACATATTAAATACACCGAGCTTAACAGCAGTTTCTTCAGGGTCCATTCAGCTCAGGGGACAATGATTCATCGATTGCAATCAATCGGAGCAGCCTCTCGTAATGTTGCAAAAAAAGAAAACAGTTTGGAATATATACTTCCCCCGCCAAATTACCCTTTTCGTTTCAATTACTTACCCCCGTTACCATGGTTCTTGAGGAAAACAAAAGTTTTTTAGAGAGCTGGGCTCCGAGCGCAAATGAAACCAAAATAGCTAATCAAATACCAAAGGGCTGTTTGTGTCAAATGATTCCTTTAAGTTAGGAAAAGTGGTTGAACAGCACAGGTAGAGATGTGGGAGAAGAAAGTACCTTTGAAACAGTTTGAGCATCACCAGCTGCACACATGTAACCAAATACATCTATTCAAGTTTCAGTATTGGTGGGCACAATTTGCATAAATGATGCTTTAAACAGAATCATTCCAGAGCAACTTTGCCTCAACCACAACACAACGAGAGAATAGTAGATATATTGTTATATAAACATCCATTAGATGTATTTGGATGAAATGATGCCAACAGCGTCTCTTTACCTTGTTTGATTCAGCAAACTTGGCAGCAGTGTAATATTCTGCATCAGCTCGAGCCCTCTCCCTGGCCAAGAAGGCAGAATCTGAAACAAAGACGGTGTTGTTGAAGATCGACACATGACAGAGCTGCTCACAGGAACACACACATCATCTGACAGGAGAGAAGTCAAAGCAGGGAGGCTGACCCTCGATTTCAGAGATCTTCTTCTCCGTCTCTTTCTCCATCACTTTCTGCTGGAACTGGATCTCTGCGACCAGAGCCACTTTCTGAGCCTCTGTGTGACGGAGAGACATGCGAGCGTTAACAGATGTAACTTTAGGAGCAACTCAAATTCTAAAATGCAAATGAAGAGTCTTGCTGGCAGATTTACAGTAAAGAAACATCACATTTACCAATAATGGCCCTCTTCCGTTCGGTCTCGGCCTCCTTTTCCACCACTCTCTGAGTCTGTGCTGTTATCATCAGACGGGTCTTCTCTGCCTCCCTGCGCGCGCACACAAACAGGTTTTTGCAAATATTATTTTCTTTCCGTGTGGTCTTACTTGAACTGAGTGGGTGGGGAACAGGCGAGAAATTGAAACATGCACTAAGACTGCGCTAGTGAGAACAGATGTACACTCACATGAGTTCAAAGTTCCTCCTGATAGATTCAGGGATCTTTGGCTTGGTAACACGCACTGCCTTCATCAGGAGGTTGAGACGGTGCGTAGGAAAGAAAAGGAAAAAAAGAGTTTTAACACTTTCAAATCAATCTGCAAATGCATAAAAAGGTCACATCAATTGAGATAACATTTGTATTGTGCTTCATTTTAGTCTTGTGTTATTAATCAAGCGAACCCCTTTCATTTACAAAGGTGGACTTTGGTCTCTCCCTAAAATAGAATAGAATCCCAATGTATGTAGTGTGCCACTCAAGGTATGATTGCATGCATTTGAATACCTGAATTGTAAGTCCAGGTCCCATAATAGTAAGTTCTTTCTGCAAAGCAACCTTCAGGTTCTCATCTATGATGTCTGAAAAACAAAAAACAGCAGCTGTTTGAATACTCAACGTCCTTGGTGTCACATTTTAGGAATGAACACAAAGCACAGGTTGCACTCCTATGACAACACAACGAAACAATACCGACTGTTTATTGCGAAAGAGCAGACTCACCAAACAGCTCGATGTAGACTTCCTGTAATGTGTGCACGCTGCAGAACTGGTTGAGTTCATGGTGAATTTTGTTGAAAATGAGAGTTTTGTCATAATCTGCAGTGTAGTTCCTCACAATTTCCACCACTGCAAACAAATGAACAAATGCAACAGTTGTTTAATGTCGAGCAGCTGGCACAGGCAATGTTTCAACCAAATGAGGGACTTTTGCAATAAGAACGTGTTGTACCTGCTGAGGGGACGAGCATGTTCACAACTTCTATTCTGTCGAAGTAGATCATCACACCACCGCTGTGAGGGAAATGTAAACGTGTTAGATACATAATCATCTTCACGAATGAGTGATCCATTTCTAACAGCTTCATCAATAAGCTCGGCTTTACCTCGTTCCACAAGGCACGTTCTTGATCTCGTCAGTTTGAAGAGTAGTCTGAAACGCACAACAAAAAGAATGAGAATCAAAGCATTGGATCACATGTTCTGATAATACTTAAGATTATTCTCCTTCTACGTGGTGGATCCTTTTATGTTTATTTTCCAGGTTATATTTGCCTAAAAGAATACTACATAAAGTGCATGTTTGTTCTAAGTTAACCAAAGACAATATGCACACACGTGACACATTAACTTGTTAATCGTGGAAGTTCACAACTAACCTTGTGAAATAGGATGCTTAACAAAATAATGTTTATTCAAAGACAATTCAAATGGGTCATGCAATGTTGATCGAGCTCTGAACATGAGATGCAGCAGAGAGATAGTCAGTGGACCTTGACCAAAGATTGTTTTTATAGTATTTTATTATTGATGTTCAGCCAATAACGAAGTGGGGAAAAAAGATTTGCTTTCATATTTCTGGAATTTCATTTTTCATGCAAACAAAAGCTGATAACAGATTTATATGATATTCAATGTAATTTAGAGTTAAAGGTGGAATAACAAATAGAGTGACTGCAGTCATGGGTGAATTGCAACTGTTTGCATACTGCTGCTGATTTATTTATAGAAGATCTCTTTCTGGATTTCATGCATCAGCCAACGCCTTCTAGTTGAATCTTACATTGCACAAGGCTATGCTAACTCAGCTAACAGGGCACGTTTACCTGCACTGATCTGAAGGTGGTGATGAAAGGCATCATAATGTGATATCCAGGACCGTTGGGAGTAGTCAGCAAAGCTCCACCCCTAAAACAAATACAAACAAATGATTTGGCCATCTCAACATCAGATTATATTTAAACAAAGGTGGAAAAAGAGACGGACTGAAACGTTTATTCAGGTGTAACAGTCATTTAAGAGGCTGTAGTTATGCATTTGTTATATCATTGCTTTACGTCACAGGGTGTTTCTGGGATTCGGTCTATACAATGACCACTCTCAACAGTTACCTCCTATATGTTTTATTTTATAGTTGTGAAGTTCTATTCAGTTTAATTTCCGTGCAGGGACCAGCGAGTGGGATCAGTGTGTGTTAATACATTTAATTAATTTGTACAAACTCAGAAAACTGTAAGAACATGCTCTCATTTGGACTTAACCTTTCTGAAGAGTGTGGCAATGGCCTCTCTTTTTTTCTCTTTGGACAAACAGGTTTGGAGCATGCAAACTCAGTGTCTACGGTTATATTTCCATATCCAAGCAATATTTACATGCATCATATTATCTTACAAACAAATACCTTTCGTATTCTTAGTACATATTTGTAATTACTTTCAGGCACGGATACAATACTACGGTTCTATACCTGTAGTACACAGCTAGGTGTCCTTCTTCTATCTTGTGAATAGAGGAGTGCAGCATGATGGCCATCACTCCAGCTATTGCTCCAAATATTGCCCCTACGTGTGGCATCGTCATCCTTGCTAGAACTCACCTATAGGGAGAGGGGGAAAAAGCATAAACATACAGAATATTTATACAACAATGAATACTCAGGGGACCAATAAGCCAAAAAACGAATAATGTCAGTAGAGTTTTAAGTATATTAACATGTATTGCATAAAGACATTGTAATAAAAACTCTTAACTATCAGTCTTCGTCAGCCAGCAAGATCAAGTAAATGCTCTGAAATGATTTGTGCTATCACTCTTCAGATACATTATTGTTGTTAATTTCCTTTTTAAACTAACAGCTCAGGAAGTCTTGTCATAAAACATTATACATGCGTCACATAGCTTGCATACTGTATTTGGCTGTTAGTTATCAACACCAGACTGAGTTTGAAAAAGGGAGATGTGCACCCAGGCTAACACAGGTCAAATGCGTTACTTGAACGCAACCCAGTCATTTAAAGTACTTTATCTAACATATAAACGCTTCTGCAGTAAATGTATGCTTCATGCGTATGTGACAGCGAGGTTTAACCCCAACGTGACTGCTTTCATAGTTAGTATGTTACATTCTTTGTTACTCAACAAATAGAAAGAACAATTCACAAGCAACGTTTGGCAGAATATGTTGAACCACTAACGTTAATGCTAAGGTACACCATTAGCTGGCGTGTAGAATAAACATATTGCAGGAAACTAGCGAGTCATCTCTCTGTCAAAATATGAAGCAATGTTTCCTTTTATAAAACCAACAACTGAACCGAGGATTTTGGTTCAGAGTTAGTTACAGCAAAGGCTGACACACAATTCGCTCGGTAACGTTAACCTTGCTAATGTTAGCCCGTTAAGCTAGCTAGCTCTCTGTATCGGGTTGGGTTTGGAAGTCAGCAACTTCGTCAGTAATGTTAGCTTATTGCTAACATTGCTATGCTGTAAAGCGTATGAGTTAACTTACCTGGTACAAAGCTTGAATTAAACTACGAACATCTACGCGTAAATGGCTTGTTATGATAAATAAGATTACCACTGTAACGACGCGTATCCTTTTCTGGTTTTATGATGCACCGTCCCCCACAGCACGCCTCCCGCAGGTTTAGCTCTCGCTTTTACTTGTTACATTATGTTGCGTTCAGGGACTGTCGGAAACATTATAGTTATTATTGCTCTACTTGTTCAAACTGGTGAAACAAAATTAAATAAACGTCAAATAAAAAACATTTGTCATTAAATTGAAAAACTGTTCCAAGAGATTCAATCCTGCTTTCAGTTGTTTTAACATGTATATAATTGAAACAAATATGAGGGAGTACATTAAACATGCATAGTACTGCACAATGGAGAATATTCCCTGTCTCAACATTCTTATTATACATCCATGTCTCAACCCCTCAATAAACAACATTGGAATTTATGGAATAAAGAGAATCAAAAAAATATTTTGTATATATATATTTTGAAAAAGTAAGGCAGACTGCCACGTGCAGTGCCTCATTTGGATGTGTCTGACGCTTGGAGCTTAACTTCCCTACGTTTCTCCTACAAATGGGCCTTGAGCTTGTTTGGAGGTTCTAGCAGGGGAGCGCAGCTACTGGTACACCGAAGGATGGTCATCATCCGCCGGGGGAACCGTCCTCTTCCACCGAGCGCGGGGCTTCGGGAGGGACACACATGGAGCGGTGAGGGAGGAAGGGGACACCCGCCTAGCCAGCCAGATCAGCCGAATAAACCCTAGCGATCAATGGGGTGACAGATGTCGCAGCCAGATCGCCCTCACATCCAAAGAGAATATAGGGGGCGTGACGTATATATAAGGGAGTAACCTACAACCATTTACTATCATGGTGTCAACGAATATATTGTTCCTTCGCTCCTCGACATGTATATAGTGTTCATGTTATGCGTATGAAGCGTGAAAGACGTACAATATGTTAAGGTTATAGTAGAGGCGGAAAGTCGTCTTCAAATATGACCAGCGAGTCGATTTCCCATGATGTTTAGCGAGAATATGTAAAACAGGGACACTATTGGCTAAAACCAACCAATCACTATCGCCATTTACACACTCTTTTTACCCCAGTCTCTCCTACTGGCGCTGTTGCTGTAAGGTTAATAATTCACACTTAAAGAGTACAAATATTGTAGTGTATTACTATTTCAGTGCATGGTGTAATAATATGTTGAGGCACTTATGTATTCACTGAAATGTAAAATGACTGGTTTGCAGAGCCATGTTTTAGGTGTATATACCAGAGATTAAACTATACTGGGTTTTATAATCCATGGTATTATGTAAATGTTTAGATGCAGCACTGCTTTGCATGCTATTTTTATTTAGCATTGTTTCAAAGAAGGATTACAGATGACTTGAGTGAATACTGATGTATGTCCTTCTTTTATAATTAAAACAATATGAAAGACAATATTCTGTTGAAGTAGAAGGGGGGTATACTGAATAAGTACACTGAAGGAAAAATGTAATGCATGATGTTAATCATTTTTCTTCTGCTTGTTTTTTGGATTGCAGCAGCTCCCAAGAGAATTTTGAACCCAGGATTTTATAAACAAGCAATTTCCTGTATGTGTTGAGACAGTTGTCTGGTCCGCTGTGCGAATGTAAATAACCACATACTTTCTACTTTCAACAGTTTAACACTTCAAGAAACTGTATTTATTCACATTCCATCATGCATAGTTTGTCAGCAGCAGTGTTTTACGCTAAATATTTAATAGCAGTAAAATAAATATGTCTTGGTTACAGCTAAAACTCCACAATACACATTTAAGTTAAAACATGAATAGCTTACCATATCATGCTGTCACACACACTGTTTTACAGCATTACATGTATGTATAGACACATAATGGAATCACAAAGCTTACAGATAGTGTAACTCTGATTAGGCACTTGTTTACAGTTTATAACTTTGACTCTGAACCCTGAGTCTTTGGTCAGTTTAACTTTCTACAGCTTCTGAGGTTGGGCTGCTCCATACTGAGTCCAGCTCCAGTCCTGATCCTGGGCAGAAAACAAACACATTTAACAAATCAATAATTACATTTAATAATTAATAAATACTAAACATGCTTTTCTTCATCTACCATGTGATCAACATTTTCATGACATTTTGCACATCTCAAAACTTAAACCTTGAACATGATTAATCAATTACAATTATTGGTAGAATACTCAATTGCTAAGAAAATTGATGACTGCAATCCTAAAAAAACAACATAAATAAGTGAGTTATTTTAGGGATCTGAACACACTGCCCAACTCCTGTGTACCATACCATGACACTGTGCTCCAACTCCTGGGTGGCGTCTTGCAGCAGAGAATTAAGTTGACTCAGATAGCGCTGATTCTCATCCAGTAACTGATGAACCGTTTCACTGAAACACACAAAACACTCTAAATTGACTGTATATATTTGCAGGGGAAGTTTAAACTCTGACACAATAAGTGCCAGGAATGTGCACTAAACAAAACAAAACAAATATATTTCAGGAATGGGGGGGGTCCATATTATTTTCATCAAGTCAAAGTTATTAAGAAGATTATTATGAGTCTCGCTACCTTTACAAGCTGCATAGTGCATGTGGTGACCTCTTGTGGCAACGTTGTGAATGTACAAATCCGTCAACTAATTTAAAGAGACTATTGAACTATTTCTGCACATTGTAGATTCAAACTCATCTGTGTATCTCCATATTAGTGTTTTAGATCTTACCTGCCAGTGGGTTGTTGTACAGGCGACTGTGGAGGGGAATTGTTCTGGGCCTAAAGACACAACGATACACTGTTTTAGCTACTATATTATTTCACATATACAAAAAATACTGTATTGCAGTATCAAGCTTTACTTTTTAAAACATGGCTGACAGCTGAGAATAATGCTGTAGGGCCTCTTGTTGTAAACTCACACAGGCAATCTTGAGAAGGTACCAGAACTCCTTTTGTCTCTTCATTTGCATCTGCATCACCGCTGCCTCTGCAGTTTTTATGTTTAATACGGCCCTCTCCAACTTAGGAAACAGATCAACGATGCGTCGCTTACACACCAGAATTGTACTACAGAATAAATGGAAAAAGGGTGAAGGATGGGAAAATTATAAAGGGCACGCAGGGAACTGTCAAATTATACCTTAGCTGTGCTGATCTTTGCAGTGTTGTACAGTATGTTTGCATGAGTGTGTGTGTGTGTGTGTGTGTGTGTGTGTGTGTGTGTGTGTGTGTGTGTGTGTGTGTGTGTGTGTGTGTGTGTGTGTGTGTGTGTGTGTGTGTGTGTGTGTGTGTGTGTGTGTGTGTGTGTGTGTGTGTGTGTGTGTGTGTGTGTGTGTGTGTGTGTGTGTGTGTGCCTTGGCTAAAATTACCTCAGATGAGTGTACAAGTCTTTCAGCACTCTGTCCTGGTTCTGAACGGTTTGGAGTATCATCTTCACCATGTCCGAGCTGTCGCTGTAGCCATGTGGAGGGTCGGGACCTGTACACATACTCTTATGATCACTCCATGTAAACACAGACATCATTTATATCTATTAAACCACAGTAGGCCTGTCAGGATAACTCCTTTTTGTTTTAAGAAGATTGTCCCAGAAACAGTTGCAATAAAGGAAAGTAATTTCATTTTGGGACCATTCTGCCACTTACATGATGATAATATAATAGCATAATAATTCAAGTACAAGAGCTATTAACTTGAACTTCCTAACAATACTAAGTCAAATAACTAAACACAACTAAATCCATAAATCAAATGGAAAATTGGGCTCTGTTAAAGAAAATGTGCTGTCTGTACTATGCCAGGTAAAACCTTGCTGTTTATTGTGGCACCATGTTAGCTAAAATGTTGGTGCAATTCTAGTGTAAACAAGCATGCATGTCAGGCAAAAGTCAGCTAAATTGATTGTTGTGTTCACATATTGTAAGTATAATACTTCAATGTTATTAATAATATAACATTTCGATTATCTTGACAGGCCTACATGCAACCTAATGGTATCAAGAGTACCAATCACTATCAGACTGCATTGTAATTGGCTATAAACTAAACAGGAGAAGCCCCTATAAATCATGTCTATATTTTAAATGTGAAATAATTTGTACTAACTTTTGCATTTAGCTTTCAATTGCTTGTAGAGTTCAATCGCCTTTTCCTCACTGAAAAAAAACAAAGACCCAAAGTTAACTTTTGCAGACCACAGTTATATTTTAAATGATTGATTCATACGTTCTGAGGTCTGTCTATTAACAATCTGTTTTAAAACAGGCTTGAGAAAATGTGAACTGTTTTAAGGGAATGAATATAGAATTGATATAACAAAGATACTGACAGTTGTTCCATTACATCCCCTTGTCTTCTTGCAATTGGACTCCTCTGCAACTCCACAATCTCAGAATGTAGAGCCACTATATCTTCATCCAGATACCCCACATCTGCAACCTACAGCAGAAAACATCCTTAGAATTTTGTATTTTTAAATAACTGCAGCTAAGTAAGAATGGTCCTACCTTTGTAAACTCATCAGCCTTATCTTCATTTTCCTGCCAGGTCTTCAACATTTTTTCTGAAGCTTCAGAAAAACACAAAAACAAGGGAAAGTTCAGCAAAGGCTCCCTAAAATGACTTTAAATCATGTATCACAGCATGAGATTAACATCCACTCACAGATACCGATGCCCCTCTGCTTGGTGTACTGCTCCAGGTCGTGCTGGATGCTGCTCTTAAAGAAAGCCAGTTTGGCTCTCAGCTGCTGCGACTGGGAGAACAGCAGGTTCTTGTACCGAGTTAAGTTGGTGTTGTAGCGGAGTAGGCTCAGCCTACACACACACAAACACAAGTCAAGTTTGTTTCAGTGTGTGGGTGTATGTTTATGTTTGTGTGGTTGTGAACATACATGGCTGCCCTCTGTCCCTGGTACAGGCGAATGTAGTCCTCCTTCAGTCCGCAGATGTAGCTCACTGCTTCCCCCCACACCTTTCTCAGTGCAGACAGTGGGAGCTGGGTCTTAGTCTCCCTGACTGAGACAACACAACATTACCACATTAACTAAGTAAGATATAACTAAGTATTTGGGGGTTTAGAACATTAACAAAGATCATGCACTCTGAACAACAAATCACTGTAAACCGAGTAGAAAACGTAAAAAATTTAATCCACAAGATGTTTTTCAGTAAATCAGTAATAATCTTATTTGCTAAAGATCTAGCAATTTATTGTATCATTAGTTTATTCTTTCCCTTTTTTTTTTTTTTTACAAATGTGACAATCCTAAGTATTTATTATGAAATCATGAAGAGAAAATACATTTTTACAACATAATTTTACAGTTTAGTAAAGTTGAGTACGTTTCATATCTCACCTATAAAGTTGACACTGTCCGGCAGAGGTCTGGCAGTCAGCGGTCCTGAGTACTTGGTCAGGCTCTTATCAAACAGAAAGACTATGCAGCTGTCCCAGCCTTGCTGAAAGCAGAGAACAAACAATCTTCTTATGTTCATTTGTATATATACATTGGGGCAAACAAGTATTTAGTCAGCCACCAATTGTGCAAGTTCTCCCACTTAAAAAGATGAGAGAGGCCTGTAATGTTCATCCTAGGTACACTTCAACTATGAGAGACAGAATGGGGGGAAATAATCCAGGAAATCACATGGTAGGATTTTTAATGAATTAATTGGTAAATTCCTCGGTAAAATAAGTATTTGGTCACCTACAAACAAACAAGATTTCTGGCTCTCACAGACCTGTAACTTCTTCTTTAAGAGCCTCCTCTGTCCTCCACTCGTTAACTGTATTAATGGCACCTGTTTGAACTCGTTATCAGTATAAAAGACACCTGTCCACAACCTCAAACAGTCACACTCCAAACTCCACTATGGCCCAGACCAAAGAGCTGTCAAAGGACACCAGAAACAAAATTGTAGACCTGCACCAGGCTGGGAAGACTGAATCTGCAATAGGTAAGCAGCTTGGTGTGAAGAAATCAACTGTGGGAGCAATTATTAGAAAATGGAAGACATACAAGACCACTGATAATCTCCCTCGATCTGGGGCTCCACACAAGATCTCACCCCGTGGGGTCAAAATGATCACAAGAACGGTGAGCAAAAATCCCAGAACCACACGGGGGGACCTAGTCAATGACCTGCAGAGAGCTGGGACCAAAGTAACAAAGGCTACCATCAGTAACACACTACGCCGCCAGGGACTCAAATCCTGCAGTGCCAGACGTGTCCCCCTGCTTAAGCCAGTACATGTCCAGGCCCGTCTGAAGTTTGCTAGAGAGCATTTAGATGATCCAGAAGAGGATTAGGAGAATGTCATATGGTCAGATGAAACCAAAATAGAACTTTTTGGTAAAAACTCAACTAGACGTGTTTGGAGGAGAAAGAAAGCTGAGTTGCATCCAAAGAACACCTACTGTGAAACATGGGGGTGGAAACATCATGCTTTGGGGCTGTTTTTCTGCAAAGGGACCAGGACGACTGATCCGTGTAAATGAAAGAATGAATGGGGCCATGTATCGTGAGATTTTGAGTGACAACCTCCTTCCATCAGCAAGGGCATTGAAGATGAAACGTGGCTGGGTCTTTCAGCATGACAATGATCCCAAACACACCGCTCGGGCAACGAAGGTGTGGCTTCGTAAGAAGCATTTCAAGGTCCTGGAGTGGCCTAGCCAGTCTCCAGATCTCAACCCCATAGAAAATCTTTGGAGGGAGTTGAAAGTCTGTGTTGCCCAGCAACAGCCCCAAAACATCACTGCTCTAGAGGAGATCTGCATGGAGGAATGGGCCAAAATACCAGCAACAGTGTGTGAAAACCTTGTGATGACTTACAGAAAACGTTTGACCTCTGTCATTGCCAACAAAGGGTATATAACAAAGTATTGAGATGAACTTTTGTTATTAACCAAATACTTATTTTCCACCATAATTTGCAAATAAATTCTTTAAAAATCAGACAATGTGATTTTCTGGATTTTTAAAAAAAAAAAAAAAATTTCTCATTTGGTCTCATAGTTGAGGTATACCTAGGATGAAAATTACAGGCCTCTCATCTTTTTAAGTGGGAGAATGTGACGAAGGTAACTTCGTCACTATGGACTGACGGCTTCAGGCCGGGTAATATTGCACTTTATTAGCGTGATTGCACAGTACAGTTGACATTACATATTTGCACATAATTCATACTAATTATTGAGGTAGTATCTTTTAACTGATTAAACCGTATTTATTGGAATGTTGTCTGGCAGGTGCTGGTCGGGTCCTCGGCTCCGCCTGGAAAGATAGGGGAGTTTGCGAGAGCGCCGAGAGTAGTTATGCTGGTGTAAGGATGACAGCGGTTGAGACTAATCAGGGTGCAAATAATATGTTGTCTGTGGCTGATGATTGTGTGCACCTGGTGTCCTGTGTTGTCTCCTCCCCCCTCACCTGTGTCTTGTTGTGCTGATTAGAGTGTGTGTATTTAGGCTCTGTTTCCCTGTCTGTTGAGAGGCTGGTAGGGTGTGTGAGATCCTTGTGGCTGCAGGATGTGTGCAAGGAGAACAACAGGATTGAGGCTGTGAACTTTGTGCACATGATTTTAATAAATGCCCACGTCGGGTTATATTTTTGGACGTTCTGCCTCTGCCTCCTTGCTTGGTCTGGGCCGCTCAACGGTCAGTCTCACAGAGAACTTGCACAATTGGTGGCTGACTAAATACTTTTTTGCCCCACTGTATGTATTTGTCTGCACACATATTGTGGCTGAATGTACTCCTCATCTTCAGAGCTAGTGAAGATGAGAAGTACGTTCAGCCACAGACTCAACACAACACAGCACCAAGCGCCTCGGACGGTCCTTTGTGCCTGTAGCCATCAGGCTGCACAACAAGGGGTCAATCATTTAAAAAATCACTGGACATAAATATACACTGTTTCCACAACCCATGTTAATATATTAGTAGTAGACCAGATATGTCAATATGTACAGATGTCCATTTTCACTTGTCACTTTAACTCATTTCGAACTTCATAATTTATATGACCAAATATGTATGCTGACAGTTATTTTACTCATCTCCTATTTCATAGTCTTTTATTATTATCATTATTATTTTAATTTTTTTTCTTGATTTGATTTTTGATTTTCTTAATCTGTGTGAATCTGTGCTATCCTGTTTTTTACACTTACTCTCTTGCTGCTTGTACAACTGAATTTCCCCTCGGGATTAAAAAAGGTCCATCTTATCTTATATTGTGCAATTGTTTAATTTATTACAGAGCGACTTCTTTCCTTTATTTATTTTTTTCTCCACAGAACATCACTAGAAACTACATGTTTACCGTAATGCACTGTTGAAATATGAAGGCAAAAAATGGCACAAAAAAAACGAGTTGATGTTACCAGAACAGTGTAATCCAGAAGTACCCAACCCAAAATGTCAACACAAACACAATATTTATTTAAATATGGAGATAAACATCAGTAGGACTTCTGTGCGTATGTACTTGTGGCTGGGTCTGTTTGACATTAGGTATTTCTGTGTGTGTCACATACCAATCCCTCTGGCAGACAGTGTGCGGGTGGCCTGCGTGGATCGAGGGAGATTCCCGTCTCCAGCAGCACCTCTTGACTCAGCGGGGTAATGTGTGTCTGTGTGTTTGTCTCCAGACGGAGCTGCAGGGAGTGTAAGCTCTCCTCAGCACCCAAAACCAACGAGTGCAGCTGGGCTGACGTCATGTCCAACACATGAATCACCTGGAGAGAAAGACACGCAGCGGGGGGGGTAGTTTTGTGGTAACTGGGAAATATAAAAACCAAAAATGCATGTGTCTTAATACAGGCAAGGTTCATATTATTTACCCTCATTTTGAGAATATTCTGTAGAGCTGTGTAGCATGAAGGCTTGTTTGTGTCAGGATCAAGCCCTCCACCACGCGTTGCAGCATCCCACAGTAACAGCATCTGCAGAAGAGACTCCACTGGTTCCAGCAGCGGCCTGTAAACACACACAAAAAAATAAATAATTGCAAGTAAGTTACGGCCCGTCCACACAGCGGCGTTGGAATCGGCGTAAGAATGGAATCGGCGTAAGAATGGAATCGGCGTAAGAATGGAAGACGCTTGACTGGTATGTTAAAGTGTCTTTCTTTGTCTCTACCTGCTGAGATTGTTTGGATACGGGAGACGTGCGGAGAATCGGACTTCTCCATTCATGTCCTCTACTGCCATGATGTCTTTGGGACCTTTGTTCTTGACTTTACTTGTCCTTAAAAAAATACAGAGAAACATTCAACCTGAGATAAAAGGAAAACAAAGCCAACAATTTTTCAACATTTTCAAATCAAGTTTAGAAATCTGTATAGACCATGTTGCATAGTTATCAATATCAAATCTTGATAATTGCATCACTGCTTTGTTGACTCACCACTGTACGGGCTGCATATGGTGTAAAAAGGGCCGAAAGCCACAAGTGCATTCAAAGATCACTGTCCCGAAGCTCCAGTAGTCCACAGTCACAGTGTAGGGTTTACTCTCAAAAAGCTCTGGAGCCTGGCAAAAAACAGATGCATTTTTAAAACAGGGCTTGATTGTTGACTATTAAACAACAGCAACATTGCTTGCAGAGCAAAGCATAACTAATGCAATAATTACCAGATACTGCAGAGTTCCAACAAAGGATGTACACAGACTGCCTTGATCGAGGTCCTTTGCATAACCCAGATCTATGATTTTATGGACAAGCTAGAAGGAAACACAGTTTGTACAATGAGAGTAAGTTCATTAAACCATTAGATATATAACATTGAAGATTACACAAAGTGCAAAACGAAGTACAAAAATAAAGCAAGTTCACCTTTCCACCAATCTCCTGCAGAACTATGTTCTCTGGCTTGAGGTCTCTGTGAATGATCTTATTTTCATGTAGGTACTGGATACCAGCACCTATGTTTGTAATGAAAACGATTTCAAATACATCTATGGATCGCATTTGGATTGACATGGGTTGAAGTAAAAGCTGAGGAAACATTACCAATGTCACTGATCAGCATGAGGACTTCACTCTCCTTCAGACCACAACAATTTTCTGGTTTATTCAATACCTAAATAAAAAGGAAAATAGGTTAGCATTGCAATGTTTGAAAGCACAACACATTGTTTGGGGTCTCTATAAAATACCCACATGGTACCTTGCGTAAGTCTCCTCTGGAGCAGTACTCCATGGCCAACAGAGGCAAGTCATTTAAAGCAATGACGCTCAACTCTTCTGGAACTTCTCTGGCCTGAACAACATTCACATGGTTCAGCCTATAACCGAAAGAGAGCCCAACATGTCATCAAGGGTTTGACAACAAGACAATGTACAGTGAAGTTTATCTATAGGCTTGCACTATAGGCTTGCACTCACTTCTTCATGATCTGAATCTCTCTGCCCCAGCGGTCTTTGTTCTTTGAGTTCAGCTCCAGGCGGCAGAGCTTCACTGCAATCTTCTCTCCTAACTCCTGCTCCAAACACATAGTGGGAAAACTGGGAATATAACTATACGTGTGCTGTTTACATTCTTCTTAGCATGAAGGATAGAGGGCAGAACTTACTAGGTGCTGGTACAGGTAGACGTGCCCAAAGCCTCCCATCCCAAGTCTCTCCTTCATCTCCCAGGAGCCACACAGCTGGCTCTGTTTGAGGGCAGGCCGCTCCATAGTGTCAGGTCTCAAGGAGTCTGACCTCAGCTAAATAGAGACAAAATACAAAACCTGTCATTCTCCAAAAACATTACTGCAGATCTTCAGCAAGGTTCTGTTCGTAAAGCCTTTTTTTACATCTACACATTGGCCTCTATGAATCTGCAGGTTGAACAGTGTAGTGTGACTCTTAGAATAGAAATGTTCTTTACTACATATTAGTATGTATTATAACCCATATAATAATATGTCTTAATTTGAGGTATTAGCAAACCCTTTCCCACTCGATCATGCTAAAATATCTTTACATATACTTTCACTCTATTTTGGCTGCTTTTTGTAATATTGTATTGGTTTATATATTATTTTTTAAATATAAACGGCTGTTGATATTGCACATTGATCATACTGCAACTGCATATATTAGTAAACTGTCGTAGTAAAACAATTGGGAGCCTATTTTTGTTTTTGGATAGCATACATTACATTGTTGCAATGTAATGTATGTATGTATGACAGATAGCCACATAGCTTAGACACAGATTGACTATGCTGAACAGAAAGTCCCCTAAAAGCAATATCTCATTCCACCAACATTATAAACTCACCTGAAAGTCGACAGATGGCTTACTTGAGTTGTCAGAACATTGTTTTTCAGAGTTAGCTAACCCTGTTTACGGTTCGTTTTCTTACATAGTGTATCAGCAAGAATGTTTAGCCTGCGAAATTATACCTTCACCGTTTACAGTCCATTCACGCGGTTTTCAAATTTGTTTTGTTGTAGTTTTGAGTGGAAAGCTACTCGATATCTGAGCAAAGTGAAAGTGTAGTAGAATGACAGAGATAGCGGTTCTGCGCATGGGCGTCCGGTTGTGCTTTTTTTTCTGCAGGACTACTCCCTCTGTTGGGGATTTCCAATCACACCCACATCCAGACAAGCAGACAGAATGTAAAACTGATGGATTTACTACCAACAGTGTGTGATAAATAGGCCTATCTTGGTTCTTTCTTTCTTTCTTTTCTGTGACTTGGACAAGGTCTGAATTTGTTCACTAGATGGTGCCAAATGCTCATTGGTAAAATAATAATCTGTTGGTCCTTTGTTTACAATGTTATTACCAATACCTCCTTTTCCAGAGAGACAAATGCACACACATATAAATATTTACATTAAAAATCACAAATAAACACATCAATCACAGCAGTTGCTCCACTTCTCTCATTAGTCATTTATATTTTGCACTTTGAAACTTTGGGCCCTTCGGCCTGTGCCTGGTTGACCCATTCAGTAGATAGTTCTTAAAAGTGAGTCAGTTGTTAAACCAGATTGCTTTATATGTATAACATTGAACCGTATACAGTAGATCCTGGTTTTGGTTGCAGTTTTTAATGTTTTATTATGCTGAGCTTTTACAGTTGCATGAACAAGTTTTAAGATCAATAGGCTACATTTATTAAATTGAAAAAAAAGTCCTACATTTTTTGTATCAACTGTATTAATAATTTAGGCCTTAACCTTAATCTTTTGTTTCATTTGTATTTTCTTTGGTTTTACACGCTCGAAAAATAAATAAACTAAACTAGATTCTGTGTTAGGCAGTTTAGGGTTTCAGATGTTTTCACCAATAAAGGAGAGCTCATCATTTCTCAATCTAGCAAAAGATGAGCTCATGAGAAAATGTGACAACATGGTCAAAGCGATGATTAAAGGCTGACGCAATGAGGGACAGTGCTGTTATTGGTAACAACGTTGACCAGCTTCCACTGTGAGAAATGATTATTGAATGATTGAAGACATTAGTTCTTTGCTTAGCAATTGTTAAACAATGAGTCACATTTATTTTGTCATATATTAGTTTGATTTGATAACCCTTTGCTTTCTCAAAAAGTTGCATTAAAAAGTAACCTATACATACATGTTCTGACTGAAATGACAGCTTTAGGTTACAATGGACCACGTGAAAATAAACAAAGTGTATTTTATGCAGACAAGAACTTATAGTTGCTTCTCAAAACTGATACGGGGAATTGTTCTCGTACTGAGCACCTTGAAAGAGGAAGCAGACAGGTTTCTTGTGATTGAATAGAGAAGTTGAAAAAACATTTAATCAGAATTTTTTTTTCAGAGTGACCTGTTAGTGTCAGGTGATGTAAGTGTGAATAGATTGAAGTGTGACAATGGTTTCCTGTCTATTTACCGGGTATTGTCTCTTTATAAACAGGAGTGTGAAGAGTGTTATGACTTGCAGGGTTTGAGCCACTTTCTTCCACTTCTAATGATCAGAATTCATAAAGTAAATTGACTTCCCTTCCTGCAGTTAAAAAAAAGTTCCTTATAGAAGATGAGGTGACCCCCCTTTGATGATCATAGCGGTCAATTCTGTGAAGTCTATTTGAATTTCAGATCTTATAAGGCAGACATAAATAAATAAATAAATAATGAATCACACTCTGATTTAGGCTTCTATGTCTCATGTTCTCCTTCCTCTTTTTCTGTGCACTAAGTGTGTCCGCCCACCGTCTCTAGAAAAATATACATGTTACTGTGTAGGATGTAAACCCTAATGTTGTAGGAGAATAACGCAGCAATGATCTCACATCTATGGTTTTATTGGGCTTGTTATATCAAAAATTAGTGTTAATAGTATACAACATAATCTGTTCACATGGTAAGTCACGCATGAGGCCTATAACAGATACTCATCAACCTCTCACCCCTCTAAGACAATTGTGAAAAAGAAAGAAAATCTAGGAGAGATTTATAATAGCAAGTTGATGCCAGGAACTTAAGAATGAGTTTTCAGCCTTCGGGCACATAGGTGTCCAGACCGGGCTGTGGGAGGAAGAAAACTTGCGCAAAAATCAACAAACCAGCTGCCTTCAACCACAAAAGTCCCGGGTTTTCCTGGGTTGGCAAATTTCTCTGTATTACTTGCTTCTTCTTTTGGTTAAACACCTGTGTGAAGTTTTAGGTAGAAATGTATCAGAGAATATTACATGGAGTCACCAAATGCATTCATGAGTTTATTCTGTTGTTTGCTGCTTCCTGACTTGATGAATGTTGTCGGCATTTACTCATCACTTAAAGTTCTCCGGTCCGCAAAGCTGACAAAAAGGTGTCATATCTGGCCATTGTCACCATCAAACAAGAGGAAATGTGAGTAACACAGGCGTCAGAGCACTTGGTGAGGTAGACTTGAGAAATCCCCCTCTAAAACTCTTAACAATGTCTATAGGGAAGTTGTGCAAAATGTGGTTGTGATGTGCTCTATTACGTGAGGCTTTGTTTATCTGTTGTTAAATGTTCTACATGAAGGCAGATAGGCTACAATGAAAAGTTATATAATTAGCAAATGAATCAAATACCAATTTCCCTACTGGGACATGAAACTATATTTAATCATATCCTAAACTCAGTTATCTAGAAATACTATAATTCTTTCATTTTTCAGGAATAGGTGAGTTAAATGAGTCTTGATTGATGATGCAGCTGCCTGCATGTTGTCACAGGCCGATGATTCAAGAGGATATGTAACTCAGTTAAGAAGAATTGCATGGTGTGCTTATGTAAGGAGTGAGATCGCTACAGTATCATTTTACACAAAAACTAATTCATTAATAATGAATAAAGCGCCATCGACACACTCGATTAAGGCAAGGCAAGGCAAGGCAAGGCAAGTTTATTTATATAGCACTTTTCAACACAAGGCAATTCAAAGTGCTTTACAAAAAATGAAAGAGATTAAGAAAATGGCATTTAAAATCAGTCATTAAAAAGAAAAGCTAACAAAATAAACATTAAAAGAAAAAATACATGGATAAAAGTTACAGTGCAGTCAATTAAACATTAAAAGAAAAAAGTACATGGATCAAACTTACAGTGACAAAAAGAAAAAAGAAAAGTCTTCAGCCTGGATTTAAAAGTAGTCAGAGTTGCAGCGGACCTGCAGGTTTCTGGGAGTTTGTTCCAGATATTTGGAGCATAATAATACAGATTAAGCATCTGTATTATTTAATGAGGACGAACCCCTGAGCATAGGGATGTTTAAATCACAGAAATATCTTAACATTAGTTGAAATTCCCCCTCCCCGGAGTCTGAACAAAATGGAATTGATGCAAAAGACATTAGGAAAGGTTTTTCTTCACAGTTATGATGACTCCAAAAAAGAAAAGCTGACTACGTTTTTCCATGATAAATTGGACAAAGCCAGTACATAATTCATACAGTATGTATCATTGCCAGGTGGAAACACTTTTTGTTTCATACAATATCCTGCAGGACAATTTGAAGGGAACATGTGGAATTCATTAATTAAATTCCAGTTTTACTGAATTCATATTGAGTTTGCTTCGATGTTAAAGTAAAACAACAGCAATTTGTACATTAGAACTTCATATTAATAATAATAATAATAATAATGCATTTTATTTATGGGCGCCTTTCAAAGCTCTCAAGGACACCTTACAGAGCATAATTAAAAACAATCAACAAAGAAGAGCACACAGTAATACAAGACTTAAAAAAAAAAAAAAAAACTTAAATAACAGAGACTTAAAAACAACAATCAGTTTAGCAGAGATTAAGAAATAGAATACGCCAGTTTAAAAAGGTGTGTTTTCAGGCTGGATTTGAAGGGTGGGAGGGAGTCCATATTGCGGATGTCTTGTGGGAGAGAGTTCCAGAGACGGGGGGCAGAGTGGCTGAAGGCTCGTGACCCCATGGTGATCAGGCGGGCAGAAGGTACAGTGAGTTGGAAGGCAGAGGAGGATCGGAGAGTACGAGAGAGAGTGTAGATGTGAAGGAGCTCAGAGAGATATGGAGGGGCAAGAGTGTGAAGGGCCTTGAAGGTGAGGAGCAACACTTTGAAGTCTATGCGGTGCTTTACGGGGAGCCAATGGAGTTATTATGGCAATACAAAATGTTCTTTTTTTCTATGATATATTCTTGTCTCTAATTCTCACATTTCTGTTACAGAACGAATGTTTAAATACTATTTCATTCCTGAATCTCAAACCTTGTACTAGCTTTGAATAGGATGTGCTCTTCTGCACCCACAGCTTCAACAGTTGTCACACATGACCAATTTAGGATATATTATTTTGAACATATCAGTGCGGTTTAAGGGGAAGGAGGGGGTGTTGGCAGCACATGTGTCACAAGACATGACAAATTATTTGGTCAAGATTTTGCTGATCAGCAATTGAGCTCCAGTGAAGTTGTCATACTTCCTCCTAAACCCCTCCCACTTGAAGCTGAGTGTTTTTAAATGGGAGGAAATGTAGGGAGATCAGCACTGCACCACCAGAGACCAACAGCACGAGTCCTGACAGGAGAGCATAGCGGAGGATACAGAGAGGAGATAACAGTCATTTCAACTGGAAGAAAAAACAAAGACCTTCATCGGGATTGCAATTTTGGACAGAAAGGTATTTATGTTTTTAAGCTGCTGCATTCAGCAACATATAGCTAGTGTATGAATGATAGGTCAAATCAAGTTAACACACAAATCTGTGAATCAAAAATAAAGTTATAACAATACAACTGTTTTCTTTTATCCTTATCAAGTTGATTCTGTGTCAAATTAATGCAATGTAGGCTTAATAGTGTGAACATGCCATGGAGTAATCAACTAAATAAAGTGATATTGCACTCACTGTACAGATAGAGACTGTTTACAGGACCAAGTGCACGCAATTAGCATCATGTATCTGTTCATTTCACATTCAAATATCCACAGCACAGTATTTTCCCCATGCAAAAAATGTCAGTCAGCAATCAACAGAAATGTAAAAGGGTGTGAACTGGTGCAAAAAAAACGCAGACACAGAAAGCACATGTCCGTTCATTA